GGGAGCTGTGGGAGCTGCTCTTAACCAGGCTGCCTGGGGCTGTATTGCTAGCCATGCGCGTGTGTGTGCATGCACACATGCACATGGTGCTCCCTGCCTCTCATCACCCTCCTCCAGCCCCTTGGGGCTGGAACTGTGACAGCCTGCAAGGGGAAACCTTCAGTTTCCTGCATTTTTCTCCTTTAAAGGGGAAAATTTGCATTTTTCTGCAGCAAATGGGAAACGCAGATCCCTGGACATCAGTGTAAAACTGTATCAAAAAAGACAATACATGTCTCTTGTTTAACAGGCTTGTCTATTTTGGTTACACAGTCAACCAAATGTATGCTGTTCAAAGCTTAAAAACAAAATTCCTTTATTGAGGGGAATTGGGTTTGGGGTATTCCCTAGAATTGTGTGCACTTGGGTGAAGAATGTGATTCAAAGTCATAGGGGGGATGCTTAGATTATACTGTTTTTTCTCAAGTTTATACCATTTTCCTTCCTAAATCTTTGTTTAATACTGTTTGTAAGGATAGAAATGAACACAGGTCTCTGATGCTTACCGTGCATGGAGTGTGGTGGGATTTCTCTGGTTATTAAATGTACTCCACTAGGACCTCTGATATACCTTAAAGTAAAGGCACTATGGGATCTGATGCAGGATCCCAACAATTGCACTTCAAGCAATGCCTCATGTGCATGGCAGGAGGCACAATATGGGATCCCACATTAGATCCCATTGTGCCGTATCACCAGTGCAGGGGGAGCTCGATCTTGATCAAGTAGCAAGCTTCTCTTCCTCCATTTCCCAGCTTGGAAGCTCCAGTCATCTAACCAGGGCTCCCAGCCATGGGAGCACATAGTGCATTTCCCCCAGCTGGGAGCCCCAGTTAGCTGAGTGGTGTTCCCAGCTTCTAGAACATATGGGAGTCTTGAAAGGGTTCCCTGTGCTCCAGAAGCTAGAGACACTGTTCAATTAAATTGTTAGGAGCCAATCACTAAGTTATTACACTTTTTGTGCAATAACATTGCGGCTTGTTCCTTATTTTATCACACCATTAACTGATTAAATATGTGGCCAGGTCACTATGTAGGATGTGATAAAACAGTTAATCATGGCTTAACTGTAATATCCATCAATGGCCTAGGCCTAGGTCTCGGGCTCCTTCACTGTTAGCTGCTTCACCACTCAGATCAGTCTGTAGAAGTCCACATAGCTCCAGAAACCAGTTGTCCCTTTGACATCTTTGTGCCAGCTTTCTTCAAGGTGCTTACCTCTGGGTGAGGGACGGTATTGGTATAGAAAACCACAGCAGAATATCGTCTTGTTGGAGGACCAAGCTACAGATTCCTGTGTACGAATTTTGCAGCTTCTGTAACATGTAAACATTGGATATTATTTGCCTTGGGTGTATCTCTCTGTATTTTCATTCTTTATGCATCATGCATTACAAACTCATGGCCACTCTTTGAAAGGAGATTTTAATAATTTGTGCTTTATATTTCATTTAAAATCTGGCTTGGGTTCTCTGTTAGTGCTTTAAGTGTTGCCACGTTGGTGAGGGAAGGGAGATTTTTTGTGATAGCAATGAATAACAGAACTTTTGCTCCATTTTCTCCGTGTTTCTGTTCATTTTTTTGTGAGAGGAGAAGGTCTGTTTCCAGGACCCTATCACAAAATAGACTTGAAGGTTCTCTGGGATAAAGGTTGCAATATGATAGGGAAAGGGGTATCATCATTGTGGCTGCTGTATTTTTTCACATACAAGATCAGCCAACAGGAGGGGTAGTACAGAGCAGTGGTTTTCAACCTTTTTTGTACCAGGACCCATTCATAAACATCAATGGCCAGTCCCAACTCAGTACCCCTCACCCCCTACCTGCTGCCCCCCATCCCCAGGTCCTACCTTCGGCAGTGTGTGGGGCAGGGGTTGGGTGTGTGAGGCAGTGGGGTGTGTGTAGGGCATGGGGGGCCCCAAGCAGCCCTTTGCAGGCTGGAACTTTGCCAGCCTCCAAGGGAAAAGCCATAGTTCCCAATGTTTTTCTCCTCTAAAGGAGAATCTATTTTTAAAGTTTGTTGATCCATTTTTAACGTTTGTTCGTGACCCTTTCATATGTTCTTGTGACCCACTTATGGGTCGCGACCCACAGGTTGTGAAACACTGGTATAGAGGAAGTACAGTGCAATCCTGCTAGTTAGTTTTCTTTCCCTCCTAGCTCATTGGCTTCCTTTGCAGGTGGGAAGGGGGGAGGGGGTTGAGAGGTCAGTGGGAGGGGATGGCCTCCTTATGCATAGTCAAAAAAAGAAAAGGCTTCTTAAATGAAATGTAAGCCCCACAACAACAACTATGCATAAACTGAAAGCTGGGAGGTATAAATGGCAAGCAGGACTCGTAGTAGAGATATCTTTTATTAGACCAATGAGATTTTTTCCAAAAAAAAATTATTTAATTGCAAGCTTTCGGGCACAAACACCCTTCATCAGGCATTAGAGAAAAGATTGTAAAAGTTCTGCTGGATGGAAAACTCTGCTGGGCAGTCAGTTCAGAAGACTCCTCTGAGCAGACTGCCCAGAGGAGTTTTCCATCTGTTGACTCCTCTGTGAAATCCTATGACATATGAACTTTATTTTCTACCCAGGAGAACTTGTACAGTCTTTTCTCCAGTGCCTGATGAAGGGTGTTTGTGTCCAAAAGCTTGCAATTGAAGACATTTATTTGCAAAAATCTTGTTGCTCTAATAAAAGTTATCATCTCTACTACAAGTCCTGATTGCCTTTTTCTGTAGATCAATACGGCTACAACCTGGATACCTGATGCACAGGAGGTATAAATGGTTTTTGAAACTTCACAAACTCTGAATGTCCCAAAGCAAAGGACCAGAAAGGTAATGGTTAAATTTGTCTCTAGTGCCATAAAGAAGCTGAAAGCTGTAAGATGCTAACAGGTTTTACCCAGGCCCAGGCCTTCAAGCAGGGTTCCAGGAAAATTTCCTTTGAAAGTTCCACAATACTGACCACAGTAGCAGCCATGGAGGTCAGGCAAATTCTTGTTTTCAGGATCACCAGTAGTGGCCATAAAAAGGTGAAGACTAGTTTTGAAGGGTGAACCAGGTGAAGACTAGTTGTGAACTCACCTCACCACCTCTCCTCCCTCCCCCCCCCCAATCTATAACTACTCTCAGACATGGGGCCTGAATGTTTTCACTTGCAGCTCCCCTAATTAGAAATGTTTACTGGCAATGGACTTGCACACTGCACACCCTGTCAGTGCCATTTTGACACAGAACGGTAAGATGAGGAAACTCATTTCCCCCCCCACCCCTGGCTGGGAATGCCTGCCAACAAGGGTTGCCATCACCTTGGATGCATAGTGGGTGCAAGCAGTGTTTGGGGATGGGTGGAGAACTGGGTGGCATTTTAGAGAAGATGCTGTAGTTTTGATAAATTGCCATTCATCAATAGATTCTGTAGCTGGGCATGCAGGAGTCATAAAATCATAAAAAATTAGGGTTGGAAGGGACCTCAGAATCACTTCCCTTGACCTGCTGGCAACACACCTGCCAATGCAGCCCAGTATGGCATTAGCCTTTGTAACAAGGGCACATTGCTGGCTCCTATTTAGCTTATTGTCCACTGTAACCCCTAGGGCCTTTTTTGCAGCTGCTGCCCAGCTAGCCAGCCCCCAGTGTGTACCGGTTCATGGAGTTGTTCCATCCTAAGGGCAGGACTTTGCACTTGTCCTTGTTGAACCTCATGAGATTCCTTTTTGCCCAATCCTCCAATTTGTCTAGCTCACTCTGAACCCTAACCCTACCCTCCAGTGTACCTACTACTCCCCCCAGCATGGTGTCATCTGCAGACTTGCTGAGGGTGTACTCTATGCCATCTTCCAGGTCACTGATGAAGATATTGAACAAAATTGGTCCCAGGACCAATCCCTGGGACACTCCACTTGATCCTGGCTGCCAACTAGACATTGAGCCATTGATTACTACACTCTGAGCCCGATGCTTCAGCCTCTCCCCTTCACTCAGGCCATGGTGCTGAGAGAGTGCAGGTTTGGATCCTCCAAACCTTTCATTCTGGGACTCTGGTTGGGCCTGTTTAAGAGCCTATTCCGGGGCTGATTATGGTTCTCCTCTTCCTTCCCCCATTGCCGCTCTCAGATTGCCTAGGATCTGCCCCTTGGGTGGCAACAAAGCACAGCTTGATAGAGGTGTTTCAGGTCAGGATCTGCGACAGGTCTTTTATAGTAAGATCATGTTGTCCACCTGGTGCCTGAAAACTGATTAGTATCCTGCTCCCTCTTGTATTGGGACTTTCGAACCTTGGCCTTTGTCACTCACTAAACATCAGATGGCAACCTCACATTGCCACCTCTGCAGATTCCTTGGTTTCCCTCTCCCCGGCAATGGAGAGGAAATTGAGAACTGAGTGAATCTGTTTGGAAAAGCCAAATTGGAAGGATTGTAGTCTCCCACAAAATGGCAACGGCTTACTTGCAAACCTAATCTATAAAAGGCAGGTCACATCTATTGTGCTCATGATCCCAGAGCTGTAGAATTGTGATGGGGACCTGGAGTGGCTGCCTCATGGGGACACTAAGCACTGTGTTAATGTGGAGCTAATTAATCCTGTTGGGGCAGAAGGCAGATGTGTAACCTAAAATAAGTTGTTGTTTTCCATATCAGAGTTATCCATGATTTATCTGGGTTGTTTCTGATACAGAGAGGTCTAAATTATGCTGTAATATCACTGTGCATCATCTATCTACTCAGTTTCATTATGCTTTTAAGCCTCAGCATGTAATTTGTCTCCCCCCCCCCCCCCCCCCCCCCCCCCCCAATTAATGTGTTTGGTTATTTTTCCCTTTCAGTAATAATGTCAGAAGACTGCTATGTCTTGTTATTTTCAGAATCTCTTCCAAATGTTGGAAATGGAGCTCAAGCCTTTAATCCTCCATTAAAAAAAATCCAGTTAGAGATTCTGTTCTTACCCAGTTGTTTCTGACTTTCAGGTTCCTCCAGGAGGTAATCGGAGTCAGTATGAAGAGATTGATATTCCTGTGGCTCTTCTCAGCTACAATGACATGTTAGATATTGGCAAGGTAAATTCACCATAGAACATTTTCTATAATAGTGCAGCGGTGTGTTTGCAATGCATCTCGGAAGTAGATGTTGAAATAATTGCTTTTCTGAAGAAGTGAATTGTACATTTTAGTTTTGAGCATCCACCAAAATGCAGTTTCCAAGATATCTTCACTATGAAATCCAGTTGGCACTGAGATAACGCGATTCAAAATGCCATGGTATTTAACAGACACGGTTCCTTGGGTGAATTTGATACCTTTTATTAGACCAACCCAATTATGGTATTTAACATAAACATGTAAATAAGTACATGTAGCACTTTTCTGCTAAATATTTTTAGTAAGACTTGAGTCTGCAAATTGTTCAATAAAAGTGAATTAACCAGAACTCAGGGTATTTTTGGGTCTCATGTCTTGTCAATTGGGGAAAAAAATACTTTTCTACATATTGGCAAACAGGTTCTCTGTCTTTTCTGTCTTGAATTTATGGAGAACATAGAGCTAGAAAAGATCTCTTGGATGATCCCGACAGCCCCTCTCACAGACAGCACATCAGATTCTTCTTTTCATAATCTGGTGGTCAGGCTTCCTTCACAAGTGGAACACTATTGCAGAATGCTACTGTCCTTTATGGTTAGGAATCTTCTTCTCCTTTCTAGCCTAAATTAATTCATGGTCAGTTTTATACCCATGTTTCTTAATGCCACATTTCTCTCCAGCTTAAAAAGCTCTTCTCTTCTCCTCCTGAGTGTTTACCCTCCTGAATATATTTATGGACAGCATTCATATCCACCTTCAGCCTTTGTGTTGCCAGACTAAAATAACTATGCTGTTCTAATATCCTCTCATTCTCCATTTCCCCCAGTCGTCCTGACAATCCTCTTTTACATCTGTTCACTTTTAATTCATTTTTCTTGAACTTGAGGGACTGGAATTGCATACAGTATTATTCCAGCTGCGATTTTATATCAGTTCCTTCTACAATGTTATGAATACCTCCCTGTTTCTACTAGAAATACTTTGTCTGATACACCCTAGGATTGTATTTGCCCGTTTCACAGCTGCATCCCATTGATTGATTTATAGTGCTATTGTATTTGATATATAAATCCAGGTCTCTACTTCATACCTTTCCATTACGTGATCTCCAGACTGTTTGTTTGTGCCACCCTTGCCAACAAAGGCTCAGGATAGCTTAAAGTAATAAAATAGTTTATCAAACAAAAGACAGACGAGAACAGAATAACATACACAATCAAGTAGAATATTAAAAATATAAAACATTCCCCTCCCTTCCTCCAATATTCCAGTTTAATCTTACTTGCTAATTGCCTACCAAAATAGGGAAAGTCTTACAGCATTTCCAAAAGATTTCTGTGCTTGGGCTCTAGAGAGCCTGAAAGCGGGGTGGGTCTTCTAAGGCTGAGGAACAACTATTGAGAATGCCCTCCCATGCGTTTTTGCCACCCAGACTTGTTTCATTGATGGTGCTTGCCAGAGATTGCTCCTGGTTGACCATAGGGATTGCAATAGGGCATAAGGAAACAGGTCCTTATAGGTCAAAACCTTGCTGTGCATCTGGAAAACTGTTGGAAGCCAGTACGGACTGAGGAATACTGGAGATATGGGCTCCTGGGGACCATTCCTGTCAGAACATGTGCTACTGTGTTCTGCATCAGTTGCAGCTTCTAGAGGGTCTTCAAGGGAAGAGTGTATTGCAGTAGACTAGCAATGAGGTTATGAAGGCATAGATAATGGTGGCCAGATCCAAATTTGTAAGAAAGGGTTACAGCCTTCTCAGCAGATGGAGTTAGTGAAAGGTACAAGTGGAGGCTGAATCCCATCAATATAGGTGTCCCAGTCTCCCCAAGTCAGGTGTTCTGCCCACTGCAATCTGTCTGGTTTCAGCTTCAACTGCTTCAGCCACTTCCAATCCCCAAATGTGCTGGAAAAAGACTGAGACTTGTGAGGTCCAGATCAGATGAGAGAGAGATGGGTGTTACAAGCATACTAATGACAACTCACTCCAGGCCTCTGCACAATCTCATCCAGCAGCCTGAGATGCATGTTGAACAGGAGAGGCAGCAAGATGAAGTCCTGGGGGATCTTCCAGAGAAGGTTGTGGGGGGTCAATGAGCACTTGCCTATTGCCACCTTCTCAGACCTCCCTGAA